CATGGTTTCTGCTCATTTCTCCATATTCTATCAGATTCTTCTTATCGATAAATGTAACCCCTCCCTGTACAAAGCCTGTAACAGGTTTGGTATTATGAACAAAGTAGAGTAGGAGTGTATGTAATTTACATCCCCCATAAGCAGCAGTTTAACAGTCCCTCTATGCTGCTATTCCTGCCATTACACACAAGGTATGAAATGTAACTTCAGGTGAACCTAACTGAATGCAACTGAAAATCATGAAGACCTACCCTATGCAACTGGAAATGTAATTGGGCTCCTATGAATTCACAGAATCATAGAAAAGTAGGGTAAGGGTTAGATCATCTAATCCAGTTCCCTGCATTGAGGCAGGACTAAATATTATCTGACAGGTGTTTATCTAACCAGTTCTTAAAAACCTCCAGTGGTGGAGATTCCACAACTTCAGTAGATAATTTGTTCCAGAGCTTAACTATTCTTATAAGTAAGAAGTTGTTCTTAATATGTCTAACCTGAATCTCCCTTGCTGGAATTTAAGTCCGTTACTTCTTGTCCTGTCCTCTGTGGTTAAAGAGAACACTTCATCACTCTTCTCTTTACAAAACCTTTTACATACTTAAAGACTGTTGTCATGTCCCCTCTCAGTCTTCTCTTCTCTAGATTAAACAACCCTAATTTTTTCAATCTTTCCTCATAGGTCATGTTTTCTAGACCTTTAATCATTTTTGTTGCTCTCCTCTGGATTTTCTCTAATTTGTCCACCTCTTTCCTGAAGTGTGGTGCCCAGAACTGGACACAGTACTCCAGTTGAGGCCTTATCAGTGTGGAGTAGAGTGGAAGAATTACTTCTCATCACTAATTACAACACTGCTGCTAACACATCCCAGAATGATACTCACTTTTGCAGAACAGTAACTATTTCACATTTGGGGACAATGTATACCTTCAGATCAGCGGCACTGCTATGGGTACCCGCATGGCCCCACAGTATGCCAACATTTTTATGGCTGATTTAGAACAACGCTTCCTCAGCTCTCGTCCCCTAAAGCCCCTACTTGTTCCTCTGAAACCTGTCATATTTAGTTTGTGATCCACTATAATGTCCAGATCATTTTTGGGAGTCCTTCCTAGGTAGTCATTTCCCATTTTATATTTGTGCAGTTTATTGTTGTTTCCTAAGTGAAGCACTTTGCATTTGTCCTTACTGAATTTTATCCTATTTATTTCAGACCATTTCTCCAGTGTGTCAAGGTCATTTTGAATTCTAAACCTATCCTCCAAAGAGATTGCAACCTGTCCCATCTTGATATCATCTGCAGACCTTATAAGTGTACTCTCCATGCCATTACTCAAATTATTTATGAAGATATTGAATAGAACCAGATCCAGGAGAAATCCCTGTGGGACCCCATTCAATATGCCCTTCTAGCTTGATTGTGAACAATTGACAACAACTATCTGAGTATGGTTTTCCAACCAGTTATCCACCCATCTTATAGTACGTTTGTCTAGGCTATACGACCCCTAATTTGTTTATAAGTCATGTGAGAAAGTATCAAAAGCCTTACTAAAACTGAACTATATCAAATCTACTGCTTCCCCTCCCCCCATTCACAAGGCTTGTTACACTATCAAAAAAGCATATTAGTTTGGTTTGAGATGATTTGTTCTTGACAAATCCACATTGAATATTACATAAAGCCTTGTTATCTTCTAGGTGCTCTACAACTAGATTTGTTTGATTGATTATTTGCTCCATTATCTTTCCAGGTTCCAAAGTTAAGCTGGCTGGTCTATAATTCCCTCGGTTGTCCTTATTCCCCTTTTTTATAAATAGGTGCTATGTTTGCCCTTTTCCAGTTTTCTGGTATCACTCTCATCCTCCACAAGTTTTCAAAGATAATTGCTTATGGCTCAGACATGTCTTCAGCCAGTTCCTCAAGTATTCTATTTCATCAGGCCTTGCTGACTTGAAGACATCTGACTTGTATAAGTAATTTTTAACCTGTTCTTTCCCCTAAGCTTCAGATCCTATCCCATTTGCCCTGATGTTCACTATATTAGATGTCCGATCACTGTTAACCTTTTTGATGAAAACTGAAACAAAAAGGCATCTGGGTAACAAGAAGGGTTTCTACAGATATTTTAGCAACAAGAAGGAGGTCAGGAAAAGTGTGGGACCCATACTGAATGGGGGAGGCAACCTAGTGACAGATGATGTGGAAAAAACTGAAGTACTCAATGCTTTTTTTGCCTCGGTCTTCACAGACAAGGTCAGCTCCAAGTATCTGGCAACACAGTATCGGGAGGAGGGGAGCAGCCCTCAATGGTGAAAGAACAGATTAAGGACTATTTAGAAAAGCTAGACATGCACAAGTCCATGGGTCAAGATCTAACACATCCAAGGGTACCGAGGGAGTTGGCTGATGTGATTGCAGAGCCACTGGCCATTATCTTTGAAAATTCATAGCAATCGGGGGAGGTCCCATACTATTGGAAAAAGGCAAATATAGTGCCCATATTTTAAAAAGGGAAGAAAGAGAACCCAGGGAACTACAGACCAGTCAGCCTCACTTCAGTACCTGGCAAAATCATGGATCAGGTCCTCAAGGAATCCATTTTGAAGCACTTGGAGGAGAAGAAGGTGATCAGGAACAATCAACATGGATTCAGCAAGGGCAAGTCATGCCTGACCAACCTGATTGCCTTCTATGATGAGATAACTGGCTCTGTGGATATGGGGAAAGCGATGGATGTGACTTATATCTTGACTTTAGCAAAGCTTTTGATATGGTCTCCCACAGTATTCTTGCCAGCAAGTTAAAGAAGTATGGATTGGATGAATGGACTATAATGTGGATAGAAAGCTGGCTAGATTGTCGGGCTCAACAAGTAGTGATCTAGTGTCTAGTTGGCAGCCGGTATCAAACAGAGTGCCCCAGGCATCAGTCCTGGGGCCGGTTTTGTTCAACATCTTCATTAATGATCTGGGTGATGGGATGAATTGCACCCTCAGCAAGTTCGCAGATGACACTAAGTTGGAGGGAGAGGTAGATACACTGGAGGGTAGGGATAGGATACAGAGGGACCTAGACAAATTAGAGGATTGGGCCAGAAGAAATCTGATGAGGTTCAACAAGGACAAGTGCAGGGTCCTGCACTTAGGACGGAAGAATCCCTTGCACAGCTATAGGCTGGGGACCGACTGGCTAAGCAGCAGTTCTGCAGAAAAGGACCTGAGGATTATAGTGGACGAGAAGCTGGATATGAGTCAGCAGTGTGCCCTTGTTGCCAAGAAGGCCAACGGCATACTGGGCTGTATTAGTAGGAGCATTGCCAGCAGATCGAAGAAAGTGATTATTCCCCTCTATTTGGCACTGGTGAGGCCACATCTGGAGTATTTCATCCAGTTTTGGTCCCCCCACTGCAGAAGGGATGTGGACAAATTGGAGAGAGTCCAGCGGAGGGCAACAAAAATGATTAGGGGGCTGGGGAACATGACTTACCAGGAGAGGCTGAGGGAACTGCAGTTATTTAGTCTGCAGAAAAGAAGAGTGAGGGCGGATTTGATAGCAGCCTTCAACTACCTGAAGGGAGGTTCCAAAGAGGATGGAGCTAGGCTGTTGGAGCTAGACTAAGATGGAGCTAGGAGTGGTGGCAAATGACAGAACAAGAAGCAATGATCTGAAGTTGCAGTGAGGGAGGTCTAGGTTGGATATTAGGAAACACTATTTCACTAGGAGCGTGGTGAAGCACTGGAATGGGTTACCTAGGGAGGTGGTGGAATCTCCATCCTTAGAGGTTTTTAAGGCCCGGCTTGACAGAGCCCTGCCTGGGATGATTTCGTTGGTGTTGGTCCTGCTTTGAGCAGGAGATTTGACTAGATGACCTCCTCAGGTCTCTTCCAACCCTAATATTCTATGATTCTATGATTTAACACTTTGGTCATTGCTGAAATGTCTATTGCTATCTTTCCCTTAGACTTGCTTCCCCCAGGATCTTAACTATCAATTTTCTGAGTTTGCTAATGTCTGCCTTCTTGAAGTCCATTGTCTTTAATCTTCTGTTTTCCCTCCTACCATTTCTTAGAAACATGAACTATTATTGTTTCATGACCTTTCACCCAAGCTGCCTTCCACCTTTAAATTCTCAACCAGTTCCTCCCTATTTGTGAAAATCAAATCTAGAACAATTACAATCAAATCTAAAAACCATTTAAGAATTGGCTAGCCTATAATTTTATTTATGTATTAAGTAATATTGTTATATTTTCCCCAAACCCTCTCTCTTAACTTATTAATTCTTCCCCTCCTCTTCACATAAAACCAGTTTTCTGTAGTAAAATAAAATTATATATGGTTACAAATATTGCTTCAAGTATTCATTTTGACCCTACAAATTAATCCACTGGAATAAATTGCCTTTTTGTCAGTTCAATGAAATAAAATTTCTTACCAATTTCAAGCAACATATTTTGAGTGTCTTATCTGATAAAAAACAAGAACATTGGTTCTCAACCAGGGGTCAGGGGCCTGCTGGAGGTTTCAGGGGTGCCACCAAGCAGCGCCAGCTTTAGACTCTCTGCGGCTCAGGGAAGAAAGCTGAAGCCCCACCGCATGGGGTGGAAGCCCAGGGCCCTGAGCCCTGCCATGCAGGGCTGAAGCAGAAGCCTGAACAATGTATCTTCGTGGGGTGGGCCTGTGACATGGGGCCTCATGCATTGCCCTGCTTACTACCTCCTAATGTTGGCCCTGACTTTTGTGTGCAGAAAACCAGTTATTGTGGCACAGGTGGGCCATGGAGTTTCTGAGGCCTGTTGAGGGGGGCCTCAGAAAGAAAAAAGTTTGAGAACCCCTGAGCTAGATCACTCCATAGACTGGAGCAGCTTGTGGTTACTAGGAGTTCATAACAGAGAATTTTTTTAAAAAATAATAAGCGATTTTAGTTTTGTCTAAAGAGTTTCTTCTTTTACTCATTTAGACTATGTTATGACATGTGTTCTGTAAATTTATTGGCAGTTGTCAATTATTGACATTTCCATTGCACCTTTAATCCAACCCCGGATGCAGCCCGGAGCTCTTCTCTACCCCAGAGGAGGCTAGCCAGCCACAGCTGTTTTATCTTGGTGAAGCGCAAACAGGAGAGGAGGCCCCTGGTAAGTGGCTTTGATTTTGAGAATTGCTGAGGCGAGTTGTTGGGTGCAGGAGGGTTGCAGAAAGCAGGCTTGTCTCTGTATGATGCACATACCACCACATGCCTAGTTTGAATGGCGGAACTGGGTGTTGATTGACTCCCTCACTTCACAGGAATCTGCCTCAGAGGTCTCCAGGAAACTCTCATGGAGATACTGGGCAATGCGCTGCTGCAGGTTCTTTGGCAGAGCTGCTTTGTTTCTTGCCCCATTAACGGTAACTTTCCCGCACCACTGTGCCGTCACGGGGAGGTGGGGGGAACCATTGCTACACACAGGCGAGTCACAAAGGCCAGGGCAGAAGCCACAGTCTTGGAGAAGACCCTCCCTTGATTCCCTACTCACCCTCAGCAGTGAGATATCTTCCATAATGAACAGAGTCTGTGAAAAATGTGGGGACAGTAATGATTATAAGGCCTCCCCTCCAGCGCTGGCTCTCTCCAAGAGCCATGTGCCCAGTGTACAGTAGGGTCGGGAACACTGATTTTCCCTGCCGCTGCAGTTATTCACCATTTTGGGGGTCTTGTGGCTCATGTGTGCTTGCCTGGGGTCAATCAGTTAGGGACAGGTATGTGAATAGTGGCTGTATTTTAAATGACTGACTCAGTAGTATGTGTGTTGCAAACAATACCTCTTCTGTAAAATATTGCATTTTGGCTTCACAGAGATGACCTTGGGAGCCCAGCCTCCCTCTTTGTTATAGCTGGCTGAACGGCTGCTCAGAATTAGAAAGTGGCCAAGAAGAACTAAGGAGGACTTTCTGACTGAGGTTATGATGCACTCCATGGCTGAAAAACAGGAACTGAAGGAGTGGTGGGACAGCGAGAAGAGGGACCAAAAGGAGAACACAGGGTGCCAGAATGAAGCCATGGAGCAGCTCTTAAACGTTATGGAGCACTAAGCAGACATGTGCCAGGAGATACTAGCCCTGCAAACCGAGCAGCTCTGCACCCACCCTCCCCTGCAGGCATTGTCGCAGAACTCTTTCCCATGCACCCCCCCCACCCCAGACACTGCCAACCTCCTGGCTCCTCTTATCAACCTCCTGGCTTCCGTCTGCACCTGCTTCATTCCACTCCTCCCCCGTCACATTCCAGCCCTGCGGACTCCCAGTACCCACTGCACTCGACACTCGTTCCTCTGCTGTTTAGCCCCTCCTGAAATACAGTACATACTACCCTGTACTCCAAAGGAGAAGATTGGATATGACCCCTGGACATACACAAATTTTTAACCGTCCCAGGACCTCACCTCCTCCTGGGACCTTCCCTTCCCCCATCCCCCTCAGTCAGAGGTGAAAGTAAGCCCGTATGCCCCGGTACGGTGTACCGGTAAGAGCTGGTGCGCGGTACCAGGACCAGCTTTCCCAGACGGCAATTTAAAGCCCTGGGGTAGCGGCAGCGGGGCTGCGGCAGGGATTTAAAGGACCCTGGAGCTGCAGCCCCCGCTACCACACCGGGCCTTTAAATCCCTGCCTGAGCCCTGCTGCCGAAGCCCTAGGGTAGCGGCGGCGGGGCTCCGGAGGGGATTTAAAGGGCCGGGGCGGTAGCGGCCCCAGGGATCGGGCAGCAGGGCTCAGGTAGGGATTTAAAGGGCTCGAGGCTCCGGCAGCCACGACTACAGTGGAGCCCAGACCCTTTAAGTTCTGCCAGAGCCCAGAGCCCTGGGGTAGCGGTGGCAGCCGGGAGCCCCCAAGGCTCCTCAGTGCTTTAAAGGGCCTGGGGTTCCACTGCGGTAGCGGCAGCTGGAGCCCTGGGCCCTTTAAATCGCCCCCGAGCCCCGGGGCTCCCAGTCGCCTCTGCAGCTGGTAGCTCGGGGGTGATTTAAAGAGCCCCAGGCTCCCAGCCGCCACTACCGCAGCTGGAGCCTGGCCCTTTCAATCAAGATTTAAAGGGCCTGGGGATTTAAGGCCTTGCCTCTTCCGGTTAAGGCCACGCCTCTTCCGCTTGAGGCCGTGCCCCCTGCTCAGGACTCCAGCGTTCTGGTAAGTCCTCTAACTTACTTTCACCCCTGCCCTCAGTGCTGATGTGTTCTTTTGTTTCTCTCTCTCCTCCAGTTGTTGTTTTTTAATAAAAGAATTGTGTTGGTTTGAAAGCAATCTTCATTCTATTAATTTAAAGCAAACAGAGCTTTGCAAAGCAACAGATAATTATCTTCTTACACCTTCATATTGCATCGTCTGCACCAATCGCAATCACCTCCTAGCATTACAAGCACTGCACTCCCAAGCATAGCAACAAATGTTCAGCTTCAAATTTCGGCCTCAAGGCATCCCTGATCCTTCTGGCCCCGCACTGTGTTCCTCTAATAGCCTTGGTCTCTTGGTGTTGGTTCAAATTCAGCCTTCAGGCACTTATCCTCAGCAGTCCAGCCCAGAGTGAAGCTTTCACCCTTCCCTTCACAAATATTATGGAGCATCCAGCACGCGGCTGTAAGCACAGGAATGCTGTCATCAGCCAGGTCCAGCTTCCCATATAGGCCACACCAGTGGACCTTTAAACGGCCAAAAGCACACTCCACAGTCATTCTGCACTTGCTCAGACTGTTGAACCGCTCCTTGCTGCTGTCAAGGTGCCACGTGTATGGCTTCACAAGCCACGGCATTAAGGGGTAGGCAGGGTCTCCTAGAATCACAATGAGCATTTCGATTTCCCCTACGGTGATCTTCTGGTCTGGGAAGAAAATCCCTGCTTTCAGCTTTCTGAACAGGCCAGTATTCTGAAAGATGTGTGCATCAATGCCCACGGTGATCCACAAGTGCCTGGAGAATCACTGAGAAAAAATACCCCTTCCGATTAATGTGCTTGGTGACTAGGTAGACTGGTGCCAGAATTGGCATATGAGTGCCATCTATTGCCCCTCCACAGTTAGGGAAGCCCATTTGTGCAAAGCCATCCACAATGTCACGCACATTGCCCAGAGTCACGGTCTTTCAGATCAGGATGTGATTAATGGCCCTGCACACTTCCGTCAACACGAGTCCAACGGTCAACTTTCCCACTCCAAACTGGATCAGTGACCGATCAGTAGCAGTCTGGAGTAGCCAGCTTCCACAGTGCAATCGCCACGTGCTTCTCCAATGGCAGTGCAGCTCTCATTCTCATGTCCTTGCACCACTTATCACACAGTCCCATGAATGTGGCTTTTCTTATTCAAAAGTTCTGCAGGTACTGCTTGTCATCCCAGACATGCATAACAATGTGATCCCACCACCCAGTGCTTGTTTCCTGAGCCCGAAAGGTGTTCCACTGTGGTCAGCACCTCCGTGAATGCCACAAGCAATCTCGTGTCATAGCTACTACTCGTGGCAAGATCAATGTCGCACTCCTCTTGCCTTCGTAGGTTAAGGAATAACTCCACTGCCACTTGTAACCTGTTAGTCAGAGTGAGCAGCATACTGGTCTACAGTTCGGGATCCATATTTGCAGACCAAAGAGGAAGAGTGCGCAGTACACAAACCATTGAAAGATGGCGCCAAATGTGGACAGAAGCACAGGGATTGCTGGGATGTGAAGCAATGCATCACGGGGGATTGGGATGGGACCAAGGATGCCACGCAGCCCCCTCTGCCTTCCCACAACTCTTAGCGGCAGAAGAGGAAGAGATGCTCTGTGGGATAGCTGCCCAGAGTGCATCGCTTCGAATACCGCTGCAAGTGCTGCAAGTGTGAACACCCTATTGCGGAGGCAGCTGACAGTGTGAACACACAACAGCCGTTTCCCTTCAGTGCTCTCTGAGCAGCACGGTAACTCTGCCAGTGTAGACATACCCTTTGTAAGAGCTTAGTAACTACCCATTTAAAATGCTCATGTTACTCTATCAGCTCTCATTGCTTTCTGCTATTTGAACAGGGTAAGACTACATGACTGAATCTACTGTGCTCTCATCTATTCCTTGAGCAAACTGCAACAGCAGAGCACAAGAAAGATTTAACTAGGAATCTACTTAAGTCTAATTCTAAATTTTCCATCAGTCAGACTAATATCATTGTCAATGGCAGTGGGAAAGAAGCAGCAACTATGGTGCTTTCACTTCTGAAGAGCAAGGTCAATATGTGGGTTTGTTTTTTTTTTGTTTCCCCATCAAAATCAATTGTTACCCTTGATTTCAGGTGGCATGCAGGGCAAGTACAATATAGCATGTATATCACATATTCAAACAGAGGAAGGTATATCCCAAGTGCAGAGCTTTGAAATGAAGCTGTCGTACACTCAAGGAGGTTTGATTCCACACTATTATTCCTTTAAGGAACAGTAATTAAGGCCTGCCTTGGGGTTCTTTCCAGGACCACTAAACTGCAGTGACTCCCCACAATTCCCCAGATGAATAATCTACAAAGGCCTGGTCTACAGGCCTGGTCTACCAGTCCAGCTTTCTCCTGTAGATAAGGTTTCACTCCTGTCCCCATGCTCCCTTGCTCAAAAATAAGCTAGCTTTTACACTATGATCATATTAACATGATTTAATACTGCTATTTCATGTGTGTGCTTGGTTTTTGTCCTTTCAAAATGAGTATTGTTCTGTTATTGTAAGCCACAGCAGACTGGCTACCTAAAGTATGGCCAATTAGAAATCAAGCCACTCTTTGACAAACCAGCTTTGCGCATCCTGACTGGAGCCCTTCACTTTATACACAGTAAAGAAAGTGGAGTGTTAATGCAAAATCACGACACACTGTGAATGCTTTACCCAACTTTATCCCATCTCTTCCATGGTAAATACCAGGCTTTATTTCCCAAGTCACTTGTAATCCCATTAAGTTACATGAAGACATCTTATCTATTGTATTCTTCCAATATCCCTTGGATTTTAATTTAAATAGAAGATTTCATACTGAGTCAAGTATAAAGCAAAAAGGTCCTTGTGAGAGTCGCCAGTAACTAGCAAAAAAGTCCCTTGTTTGAGGGGTACACTTCAGGTAATTACAGTAATTCCATTTCTAGCTGCCTTCTTTATTACACAGTGATATAAGGAGACTCGCCTATTTGTTTGACCACCTACAGCACAACTGTTCAAGAAGTTGATTCTTCTAATAGATTTATTTCTTTAATGGTGGTTTAATTAAGATACTTTTATTGTGTTAGTATAATTTATAGCCAAAAGCAACATTTTATGGTGTGCTCCCACTATTACCTCCATGCTAAATAGTCTGTCAGCATTGCCATTACAGCCCTAGTGTTTCAATGGGGTATAATATGAGCGTAAAAATTTGCTTCAGACACACAATGGCTCAGCCCAAAAGCAATTTTATAATCAATGTAGTTTGTATTAGTCTGACCTTTCCAGAGTACTAGAAGGGCAAAAATAGATTGTTTTGTGGCTGCAAAAAGTGTTATTCCCTCCCCCATTTAAGCTGTTGCAAAGTATCTTTTTTTTTCCCTTGAAAATGTGCGGGTCAGGGAGCTTAACAGGACCTAAAAAAATTCTTTGTACTTACAATACGTATGTGGTCCAGGGCAGCCATAGATTAAGTATGCTAACACGTTATGGATGTGTTCAAAAACTTTGTGGGTTGAAAAAATTATTTCTCTAAAGTCAAAGGCAGACAGTGAGAAAAGCAGACATAGGACCCAAGCATTTGAATGCCATTCCAATGCCTAATCCATAATTTATTGACGCTAAGGGATTTATGCCATTTTAGAATTTATAAAATTACAATGAAATTAGGCCTTACATCTTTGATAGACATGAATGGGTGGTTCTCCAAGCAATGAGTAAGCATTTAAAGTTGTTGACTAAACAATAGTCAATAACTGATTCACCTAGGAATAGTGTGTTAGCATGGAGACAAGGGATGAATGGAATTTGTTATTAGCAGAATGTTTGAATATTTCCCCCATACTAAGAGAAATTTTTGGCTGCAGCAATTTATGTGAATATTGTGTTGATATAGATATCATGACTTATTTATGGCTAGATAAGAAAAGCTCAGCATTCTCCTGCTCCATCTTAAACAATGGAAATGCATTTATGATAAAAAGAATTACTTGTGCAAACTGAAATAGGAGCAAAGCTATGACCTCATCCTGGTGGCCATGGCAACTCCAGACATGCTGGGGGAAAGTGTCTTAAAATAAACATTAAGTTCAAGCAAAAGCTGAGAGAGATTGAAGGCTGAGTAATGAATACAGGCCATTCCATTACTATGTGGAAGCATCACTGTATGAGACCTTCTGTGGCAAGGGGGGACACAGTGCACGTGGTGAAAGTTCATGGAAACGTCAGTGTAGGCCCCCATAAAGTAATGATGGGACATTTCCTTCCATCCCACCTCTTACCCTTATTATTGTTCTTTAAACGTTGGCATTGGTTATCTACACCCTGATTATAGTTTTTTGACAGATTATTTCAGCAGTTCAAGCATAGTGGATAACAACTATTTGCTTTTTAAATGTGTGACAGGAATTACTTTCCATCTTACATTATTTTCTGTTTTTCGGTAGTATGCAGTCTGTGCAGGAAAGACACAAGTTTGTTCTATAGTTTGCCATTAAGGTGTTTTCACCCAAAGATCTTTAAGAGGTTTGCCAACACGAAGCTACTTCCCTAAACACTTCAGCCAGCCCAACTGGGTAAACTGAGGCATAAAGAACTGTAGTGACTTGCCCAAGGTGAGAACAGCAAGTTTATGACAGAGGCAAGAATAATTCAATCATCAGCTTTTCCCACCAAACCGGAATCGTTCTTAGTGACTTATTTTGTATGAAAGATTAGGCGGAGTATTTTACCAACCACATTTGCTCATTTCTTATGTATCCACTGAAGTTCTTAAAAATCAGGTTGTGGTTTTCCTGGTGTCTGGGCTGCAGTCAAGACTTCCTGCAATTTCATACAGATTGTATCTCCCGTTCATCCATTCTGTTCAATGGATAAGTCAATTAAATTAATGTGGAACAGTTCTCTGCTACCGGGATTCTCCTCAGCCAATCTTTCAAATATTTCCTTTTTCAGCTGCTGTAGTTGTGAATTATTTTCAGTATCTATTCCCAACACACTAAGCCAAAGCTAATGAGGTATCACCTACACTGTTGGCCAAGAATAAGAGAGAAAACTATTACTAAAGATGGTTTATGTCTCA